ATGATTTTAATAATTTAATAATAGTCATAACCATTACCGAAGATAAAAAAAAATTACTATGAGTAAATAAATTATAAATTACATATTTTACAATTTAAATTATACTAAATTATAAAAACATCTTTTACTTAAATTAGTATGTTAGTCTAGTAAACTTCTTTAATTTTGTCAAAATAACACCATCTTCTCTCCCCACCTTTTTCTTTAAATCAATCAAGCTAAAAGTTAGCTGATGATTAATGAAGGATGTTTATCTTCAGACAATTTAATATTGAAATGTAATTTTTTTAGATTTGAAGTTACATAATGGGATGATTTTAGAGTTTTGCAACCCTAAAGCACATTGCCCACAAAAGACGGACCATTTGACGACCCTCTTATTATCAAGAGTCCCTTAATCAAAGGATTAGTGCTTTGGACTGGGAAATACTTAAAAAAAAAAAATAAAGATAAATTCTCAAATTTATTGGTATACTCTGACTACACTCCACCAGTACATTCACCCTGAATCTCTTTATTCACTCCATTTTGAAAGAAAGTCAACTCCGAAGAATTTGAGAAAAAACTCATTACTTAATATTAAATTCAAAGATATTATGGATTACCAAGTTCTACATATCAAATTCAAACACTGAAACATGTATATAGGGATGTGAGAAAGTGAATTACCAAATGTACAAAAGCATATTTGGTCTTAAGAAAGTGGAGTAAAGAGACGTTATTTCAACTGATCAGATTAAATCATGAGGCCAATGACTTAATTTGATTGCTTGAAATAGTTTTCCTTTTCCTCTACTCCACTTCCCTCAAACCGGACATGCATTATGTTTTGAATCCATAGATGTACAATTGTACATTGCTGTTCTACAGGGCATCGAATTCCAAAATATAAATAAGAAACACAGCTAATGATTCTGTTTGCTTTTAACCATCCATTATACTTACAGAACTAAAAGGGACAGAGATATTCCTACAGATATTAGCACTTGGCAGATTGAAATGTCGGTGAACAGGGCACCCAGCAAGAGTGGAGAATCAACAGGATCCAGCAAAAAGTCTCCAAATTTTATCTCCTTCCTCCATGCCAGAGGCAAAGAAAATGCATAACAATCCGCCAGTCAACTTCCATGTTAACCAGATAATCAAGTGCTTATTACATCATACAGATACAGCTTCTGAACATAAGGATCAATGGTGTCAGAAAATGGCCCTGCAATTGAGATGCAGTTTCTAATCTTTGCAGGTAGTGATTTTGGTCCTCATGCTCTCTTGAAGAATTTACCTCCTCTTTTTCCCATGTCAGTCCCAGTAAGACATGATGCAAGAAGAGATTTGGTGTCTGGTCTCCATTTCAGCTCTTTAAGAGCAGAGATAAAGAGTGAGAGTGCGGGAGTGATTTCCCCATCCTTTATGTTCTTACACGATACTACTCTAAGACTCCGAAGATCCTGCCAGGAGAGAATCACAGCCTCCAGGCCTTCTGTTGTTAGCAATGAGCATCCTTCTAAAGATAGGAACTTCACTCTCCTGTTGAAAATAAAATGTAGACAAACATAAACCTTATTAAGAAGTTTAGTCCAATTCTAGACATCTATGTCCAAGTATTCTAAATAATTGATGCTTGTTGTTCAACTAATGAATAAAGATAATGCTTATTGCATTTCCTCTTCTTTTTGGCAGGAAAACAGATGAAATTCCTATAGAACTAAACAAAGTGATCCCAGTACATATGCTTAAGTAAAAATAATCAAGAACACGTCAAGTAGCTTAACACAGCAAAATTACCAAAGCTAAATTGATGGATAAAAGATAACTAGAGCCAATAAGACAGTCCACAAGAAAGATGGGAAACTAGATGAGGGAGAATCTCCACTTGGTGCAGGAGCCATGTCCACTTGGTCTGCCTCCAAAATGTCATATTCTTTAAATTGAGTATCATCAAGATTAATCACAATAGACTTCCCACACTCAATTAGCTTTTCTCTAAAAGATACTAGGATTAGGAAAGTAAAAACATCCCTGGTATTTATGAACCAAGCATCCTCGAAATTTCCTCCAAACTTTTGAATTGAATCAAGTTTATTAAGTGCTCTAGACTATAAGAAACTCAGAATGATTTAGAGAGCAATATGGCACACTCCCAAATCCCTATAGAAGCAGTAGCATAGATAAGCAGAATTTTTAGTGACACATGATTACAGCCAAACATCCAACACATTTAGCAATTCATAGATCAGCATGCTCAGCCTAGAACCTTGATTTTTAAACCACAAATAACTAATCTGAAATTCATCAATCAAAATCCCTAATTCCAATCCCTGAAGTTTGCAATTAGAAACCAAAACTAAAAGATAAAATCGGATGAGAACAAAGGGGCTTTCTGCTGATGTGATAATCACCTGAAAAACCCAGCTATTAAACCAATCCTTCATTTTAACATTCAAGAAGACAATAGCCCATTCCAACACATTAAGGATTCAGTTGCAAACAAAACATCAAAGATGAGGGATCCAACAGCAAATTTGAGAACCATGCTCTTTCAATCAAATAAGCAGTTTTGAGAGGGAATGAGGTCAAAGGGACAGCTGTTGTTTACCATAAAAAAGGGATTTTGGGCTAGAATTTGGTTAAAAGGTATAGGGTTAGTAGGTTGGGAAAGGAAAAATGCCACAGGAATTTTTGGTTCTTTTAAACAAAAACTGAAAATTTCAAAGGAAAAGCAATATTTTGAGGAAGGAGATTAAGATGGTATGGGAAGGTGGGATGAAGGCAGGATTTGGGAGTGCCCACCAGCGTTCCCTTTAGAGAGTGAATTCTCTGGACCTGGAAGAGAGAGTGGAGGACACTATTTTTTATGGCTTATGCATTTCTTGTTAGAAAAGCACTTTTATTGTGACCACTAACAGCAAATCTATGATAAGCATATTGTGTACATACTACCCAAGGTAAAAAGCATATCTTCAAAGATATATATATATATATATATATCATCATTTCGTTAAAATGATTCTTCTTTATCAATTCCAGGAGTCTAATGTAATCATTTCAAATTCACTTTATTAACAAGAATCTCAATCAAGGTCTAATATCCAAAGTTTCTCTAGCCAATTCTATGAAGAAGTCTATCCACATTCATGTCTTTGAACAGTAATGTACATAAAAGTATAAAAAAACCAAGCAAACAAAACAATAACAACCAAAAGGACAAATCAGTACCTGCAGATGCTGGCTGCACTGAACATGCCATTGTCCAATCCCCAACAATTCTGAACGATTATCTCCTTAACAACTCCACATACTCTAAACAAAGCTCTAATGCTTTTCTTATCCCGCAACTGGCACTTCTGCAAATGCAACCGCCCAAGTGCTGGACAAGAACCCAGATACTTATCTGGCCCTGGGCTGGCATCAATCTTTTTACATGACAAGAACCTCAATGTCTTCAGATTCTCGCAGTAAGACAGTGCTGCCAGCCACCCATCATCCATCCTATGCTCAGAAAGAGTCAAATCCTCAAGCATTTGGCAACACTGCCCTATTGCTTTAATCCCATCAAAGCTACCCTCACATCCAGAAAGCTCAAGCTTCACCAACCTTTTGCACCCTTGAGCTAGAATTGTTAGTCCTATATCCGAAACAATTGAACTATACAATCCCTCTACACTTCCAACAAGCTTCAAAATTTGCAAATTCTCACAAGCAGCAATCCCTCGCAAGACATTATCATTGCATTTATGCAGTTCCAGATCTTGCAATGTCAAGCACTCGTCAGCCACACCCATCAACCCCAGTTCACTAGCACCAATCACCACAAGCTTACGCAGATTTGGGTACCCACCAGCAAGCGTTCTCAGACCCCTGTCAACCATGTCCACAGGCAACAGATTCTCCTCGCAAATTCGCCAATTGGACGAAAACCTAGAACTCACGTGCATCGAACCCATTCTATGACTAACCAGAATCCCTGAGTTTCGCGGCGAAAACAGACACCCATTTACCAAATCTACATGGGTCAGATTTGGGAATCTCAAAAACAACCGACCCGATTCAAGAAAATCCCAATCCAGCACCTTCAACGACCGCACAAGTCGGCCCTGAAGATTAAGCCACCGCTTGCAGACGAGAGAGTTAGGGTTTCTCTGCGAAACAGGGAGCCTAGACAGAATTTTGAGGAGAAGATCGTCTGACAAAAGAAGGGTGCGATCAACATTCGAAAATTTGGGGATAAGAGTTTGCGACTTGGGGTCTTCAGGTGATAGAGTCGGAAGTTGCATAGTAAAGAGCACATGGTTCAAGGACTTGGCGTTCTTCACCCAGATGTCAGACAAGCTCGGCGTTCTCTTCTTCACCACCGGAACGTTGGAATCCAGGCCACCTTTCTCTTCCAAAACCGACATCGCCAGTGCGCTGGAGCACACAACGCCTCCGTCTTCGCTTCAAAGACTGGATTTTTCCGAGCCTGTTAGTATGAAAATGAAGTATGACAATGGAAGTAGAAGGAGCTACTGTGGCTAACGGATTTCTTGAGGGGTGGGGTCGGGAGATTTTGAACAATGTATTAATAATAATGGAAATCGAAGTGGCGCTTTTTGTTTTTATCCAAGAACTTGAAAGATCGTTGGGATTTGCTTTTTATCTTCATTGAACTTGGCTCGGCTAGATCGGGTTTGGGTGATGACGAGAAAGGATGAAAATGAGGATGCAAATTATATATATATATAATCATAACGATTATGAAAAATATTATTTAAAAATTATATTATTTTAAAAATTAAAATATTTTATTTTTAAAATATAAATTAAAATATTTTTTATTATTTTTTTAAATTAAAAAAAAAAAGACGAACAAATACTAACTCTATATATATTTACATCATATTAATTTTATTAATTTTTATACAAAGTTGTTAATTTTTATTTTTTTATTTAAAATGTTAGTTTTTATTTTTTTATTTAAAAATTAATTATATAATAATGTTAATGTAATAAATAAAATTTTTTAATTAAAATGTTAAAAGATAAATTTTTAAATAAAAAATTAAAATGTAATATTTTTATTTTAAAACTAATAAAGTTAAAATTTTAAATGGAAAAAAAAAATTTATAATTGGCATCTTATTTAGACCTTTTCTAAGTGGATGAGCAAAGAATCCGATCAACAGTTTTTTCTCTATACTTTATGGGATTTTTAGTGTAATTATTTTCGTATTTTGGGTTTTTCTAACTAATAGAGGTTGGGTTTGCATTTATATATTTTTAATTATAAATTCGTATCAAAAATTTTATTTTTAACATTAATGTTATGTTTCTGTGAAATATTTTAATTAAACAGTTTTAAAATTAAAGTTAATTTTATTTTTATATAAATTAATGATAAAAATATATAATAAATGCATATAAATTTCATTATATTTTTTATAGGATTTTTTCAATTGTGCTTTAAGAGTACATTTATTGTATATTTTCATTAATTCATATGAAAAATTAAAAATAGTCTTTAATTTTATCGATTATTTAATTAAAATCATTTATATGGTATTAGTGTTGAAAACAACATTTACTTTTATAATTTGTTATACATATTAATGAACAAAAAGAATAATAAATGTACATATAACTTAAACACTAGTTAGAAAATTCCTTTTTATGTTGTTTTATGAGATTACAAAAAATCAAAATATTTTGATAATTAAAATGGCAGGACTCTTTAGGAAATTATTTTTTGATTCATTAAAACTATTTAAATAATTTTAAAAAGAGTCTTAATATTTTAAGTACTAGTATGTCTTAATTTTCACTTTTCTCTTGCTTTAATTACCTTTCTTTTTTTGCCACTACTTTAATTTTTTTTTTGAACTGATTTTACAAGTGGTTGGGTTCAAACCCCAGCCCAGGGGAGGGGGGAATGTACCATGGTGGCTATTGCCACTTGACCCGATTAGTATTAAAAAATACAAAAACTTACATTAATTTTATTATTAATATCATATGAATTATTTTAATTGTATATTTAATTTTTTTTAATAGAGGGTGGGATTCAAACCCCACACCTCTACCCGGATAAGATAGTCCTTTACAAGGTATAAATAATTGTATATTTAGTTAAGTAAATGTCAACTTTTAGTTTTAATAGCAATTAATATAAAAAAATACAATAATTATAGTACAACCTTAGGTTATATGCACAGGTTAGAAATATGCATGAGGTTAGAAAAAAAAACCCTTTCTTTATATAATTAAAAAGAAAAAAAGTGAAAATTGTAATTCATTGGTTAACTTTTCTTGTATGTTTATTTATTAAAGGTATTTAAATTCTTGTAACATTTCAATTATTAGAAAAACATGATTTTTCGCAATTCCATTAAAAATGTGTTTTACAACAAGGTGATTAGGGGGACAAAAAAACAGGTCTTGTTGCTGGAAAAAAAGAAGTTAAAAATGAAAACCCAAGGTGATTATAAATACTTAAAATTAAAAAAAAAAAAAAGAAGAAGAAAAAGTTACCACTCCCTACATCTGATTTAGTTGTCCACTTAATTTTTATATAATTATCTAGAAATTTCACTCTTTTTTTAAAAAAAAAATTCAAGATTGAGAAATGGAGAAATTCCAAATTTCACTTATTACTATATTTAACATTTTTCACCTTATTTCATGCTTTATTTATAATGAAAATAAAAAGGCCGTAACATTTCCCCAGCAAACTTAGTATATGTTTTATACAGTTTGTGAGAAGTTTTCTTAGATTTTAAAAACTTCAATTACATCAAAAATTACAATTTGTAAGAAATGTTATAATTTTTCATAAGTTAATATTTTATTTATTTTATTATAAATTTTAGAAGCATCGAATTGATGTTTCTATAAGAACTTCCTATTTAAGTTTTAATATAATTAGCACATTATTTTTAATTTAATTTTTTTAATTTATAAAAATAATACTTCTATAATAATTTTTTTAACAAAACTTCTATTAAAAGTTTCAATCATACCAAACTTAAATAACTCGAACACTTAAATAACTCCATCACTCTTGTGGGCTAGGGGGAAAAAAAAAAAAGATCTCTTCCCCTCGTGATCTTTGGAAAAAATTTTCATTTGATAAAGTTTCGGTTTAAGTTGCACCCGAAACCGCCCATATGGGTCGGGGCATGGACAGTACCAGATGCCCGACAATGACGTGGTTTTTACTTCTCGCTTAAAAAAGTGGAAAATGTAAAAATCCTGTCCTCGGTTGCCACCTCAGTCGTCCCCTTCCCTTCCATCGTTTCCCTCTGATTCCTCTCTGTTTCTCCCCTGCGTTTTCCCTCTTCTCTTCAAACCTCCGGTAGGTATTCTACATCTATCCATAGATCTACTCCGTCGTCTTCTTCCTTAGCTTAGATCTCACAAATTCTTCCGTGATCTTTTCGGTTTTTATTCCTTCCATTTCAGATCCATCTTCTCCCGATTCCTTTTGTCTGTTCCTTTCCCCCTGAAATTCACGGAGGAAGAAATCTCGAAAAAATTTCTTAATTAATTAATTATTATTATTTTTTGGTTACTGAATTGGGTTTTTGTTTCCTTGTGAATTCTTTTTGATTCATAGGGAGAAGAAGAGGCGATTTCTGGAAAATGTCGAATTCGCATAGTGATACCGTACCGCTGCACGCTTCGTCCCAATCGGACATTGACGAGATCGAGAACCTAATCAACGTGAGTGTGCAGTCAGGTCCGGCGACCGTCCTCCCCGCCAGGCCTCCGAGCCCGCCCAGGGCTTCCATCCCAGTTTCCTCCACCCCCTTCATTCAGTCCAACATCCCCCCGCCTACTTCCGCTTCATCCAATCAGAAGGTGCCGCCTGTCTCTGCCGCCCCTCCTCCGCCAATTAACAACTCTACTAGGCCGAATATTGGGGTCAGCGGGTTTGGGCCATCGCCTAATACGCTCACAGAGCCTGTATGGGACACTGTCAAAAGAGATCTGTCGAGGATTGTCAACAATTTGAAGCTCGTAGTGTTTCCAAACCCGTACAGAGAGGATCCTGGAAAGGCGTTGAGGGATTGGGATCTTTGGGGTCCCTTTTTCTTTATTGTGTTCTTGGGGCTCACTCTTTCTTGGTCTGCTTCTGTGAAGAAGGTACATAGTTTATTCTGTTTGATTCATTTGTATTCTATATTGTTTATTTTTGTTAATTTATCGAATATTTATGGTTTTTTCTGTCTCTAAGATTGATACATTGTATTGGCCATTGCTTTTGCTGATGTTTTAGCGGATGTTTTGATGCGTCTGCTGAGAAACATTGTCATCCTTTTAGAACACCGCCTGTGCTATGTTAGTAGATTCTCATGCACTTGATGACCAAAAATCTGAGGGCATTAGCAAAAATTTGAAACTGAACGATTAGCATTTTTTCTTCCACTAAACAATGCAAGATGAATTCTAGCAGTCAATTCTATACTTAAATGGATCTGCATTATTAATCTTGATTCATGCTAGAGTAATACATTCATAGATATCTAGAACAGGAGTCATGATATGTTGATTTTAGTTATGCATCTTGGCCTAGAGCAACCTTGTTGTGAATTTCGAGAGAATGCACCCCTAGATAATACCTTTTTATTTAATATGCAAGCTTGGATTAGGGTCTTGTTAGGTTTGTCATTGGCTTTTGGGTTCCGCATTTCCATGAGAGGGTTACTAAAAAGTATATTTCTATGATGAGGTAAACTGAGGCTGAGAGGAGAAAATGTTTCTTAAGGACCTTTTTGGTTCAGGTTTCAATGCAAAACTTAAGAAAAGGTTATATATAGTGCTCATTGTGGTGAGTAGAAGTTGGTACCTGATGCGTTGTCAAATATCCCATTGTTATTCCCTTTTGTTTTATTAATTTCTTCCTAATAGGAATCTTAAGTTTATGATATTTGCAATAGTATTTTTGCTCCTGCTTATGCAGTATAAGTTTTGAGTGATTGATACTGGTAGACAACTTGGATCCTATGCTAATATTCAAACAAATTGGAGTAGCCAAAATTGATATATTTATGCAACCTTCTAGTGCTCTCCTTTTGATATATTAAGGAGTTCAACTAGTTAAAGGCCAAGGATTATTATTGATTCAACTCATACTGGATTCCTAGATGTCATCCAATTCTTTGGATATTGATATTTGGTTTGTGTCACCATGCTTTGTTACTTGTTTCTTTATGCATGCATGATCCTGATTGTCTTAAATATTTATTACCCATAATAAATTTTTAACATGCAAATAATTTTGAAAGATCATATTTAGGCCAAAATTATATGCAGAACAAATTGTTTGCAGATTAATAAAATTTTGGAATTTATGGTGGTAAATGTTGAACATTTCCTTTTCTCACCTTGTTTCTTTTTTGTTTACACATGCATCTTCTCTTATGTATTGACATTAATCAGATTGGATATTTTAGCCTTCCTTTCTTTTACCTTTCTATATTATTTCAGATTTTCTTTTTCACAACAAGGAACTGCATATTATTTCAGATTATAATGTATTTCTCAGAATATTTTTTATTTTACTATGTAATTTACCATTTTTTTCCTCCTTTTAAAATCTTCCAGTCCGAGGTATTTGCTGTTGCCTTTGCACTGCTTGCAGCTGGTGCTGTGATCTTGACATTGAATGTTCTGCTACTGGTAACAATCTCTCTCAAAAAGAGTTTTAGATTTGAGGTTCAAGTTCCCTTCCCAATGTTCAGAAATTTAGTTAAATGTTGTTTTCAAACTTGAATTTTATATATAATCCTACCTTACTTTCTTGAAAAACAAAAATAATCGACATATGTATGATAAGATTACAACTTTTTGTTAAGGTTTTCCACTTATGATGTGTTTCAGGGTGGACACATAATTTTCTTCCAGAGTCTAAGTCTTCTAGGTTATTGTCTATTTCCTCTGGACATTGGAGCCCTGATCTGCATGTTGAAGGACAATTGGGTAATCAAATTGGTTGTGGTCTGTGTGACATTGGCCTGGAGCTCTTGGGCTGCCTATCCTTTCATGAGTTCAGCTGTCAACCCAAGGAGAAAAGCCCTTGCTCTCTACCCTGTTTTTCTCATGTACGTATCTGTTGGTTTTCTCATCGTTGCCATTGATTAATATATCAATGGATTCCATCCCATGCTACCGTATTTTTTGACCTGACTCAAATCATTGGGAGTTCAGTTTAACCTGCCGATATTATATGCCAGTTGTATGAAACCTTTATATGCAGTTAAGTGATACTACTTGTGTTACACCTTTATTAGATATCAAGTTAGGGCTTTTTTGATTTTCTTTTCTTGAACTTTTTTTATGACCTCTGCACTGTAAACCATACATGATTCAAGTTGAATGCAATGCTCTCATTTATGTTTTCATGAACTTGAATCTATATCTGGTAATAATAATATGCCTCCATCCTCCTGCCGGTAAAACCAAGTTAAAATTAACATTTGAAAGAGAATTCACAACAATGATTTTATGAACTGTTAAGAACTTTTTGAATATGATAAATAAATGTAAACTTGTTCTCAGCAATGGTTGAATGTAATTACAGTAAGAGTCTAAATTATCTCCGAGTTCAAACATGTAATGCTAATGGTTGTGATTTTCTCACCAATGGGCATAATTATTTCGAGCACTACTTTTACACCTAGAGTTCTTGCAAGAGCAAAGCTTCACACGCTACCAGCCTCTTGTTCACAAAACATTCCTACGTGAGCTACACACAGGCACACATTCATGTACCACTAAGCTATAAAACCAAACTTCCCAATAACTCAAGCAACTTTATTACCAAAGAAAACTTCAGTCGGTAAAAATTCGAAAATCTACTAGTAACAAAAAGAACAATAAACAAACCAAGAAGAGTAATTTAAGAATAAATGCCAAGCTTAATGCAAGGAATAAACTTTTGAGGTCTCACATGGAACATGTCAAATTGCCAATAAAACCATGGTATTCACAACAAAATAGAAATAGTGGAAAGAGTAGTGCATGATGCCCTTTCTCTTCAAACATCTACAACAAAATAATCAAATAAAACTTAAGCATTACACACTGCTATCTTCAGAGCCCAGAAGTCCTTGTGATTTTGTATTGTATGAAATTAGACCTTCATCTTTCAACTCCAAACACCCCTTCTTTCTTGATCACAAATTCACAAGATGAACCAGGCAAATGGGGCGCAAAAACAACATGAAGCTGCCTCATTTGTTTCATCACACCACCCGTTTCCTCGTATGATTTTCCATTCTCTTCGTGAACAACCTCCTCATATCTGGACAAGAACAACCTTGAATTGACACAATTAGCCCAAGCTAAACCCAAAGCAGGACAAACTCGTCTTCCAGATGAATACAAACACCCCAAATTCCCAATCCTCAACCCATTTATCCCCTCATCTGGTACTACCAAATCTACCACCTGATTAGTAACCAAAACCGCTAAATTAAACCTCTTTGCTAACGCCTTTAACTTAGCTGAAATCTTGAAGAACAACGATGATCTCCTCTTAAGCTCAACTGGGGTGTTGTCAAATTCAGACCTAAATAAAGCAGCAATCGAATCAATCACAATAACCCTAACGGGCAGCCGGGTTCTCGAATTTTCTATGAAAGATTCTGTCTTGGACATTATATCGAGCAGTTCGCCTGCAGAATGTACACTTTGCACAAATATATCATCACAAGGGTTTTCGTCGCTTCTACAATTAGAAGAACGAAATGCAACGGATAGTTGATGAAGGCGGCGAAAGGGGAAAGGGAACTCAGTGTAGAGGTAGAGAGAGGAGGCGGCGAGGCCTCCGCTGGAAACGGGGAGTTGGGCATGGAGAGCAAGTTGGAGGCATATTTGGGTCTTACCGGAGCCACTCTCAGCAACAACTTCGGTAACGGAATTGCAGGGGATGCCGCCTCCGAGGCAGCGGTCGAGGATTGGGCAGCCGGTGCTGCATTTCTGGATGGTCGAGAGGTTTTCCAAGAGGTTCTGTGGCGTCATAGGATTCAATTCAGGTTGATGGGCAGCTGGGCATTATGTGGGGGTTTTTGAAGAATGTAACGTAGGGGAAATGGCGCCAAATGGAGTTTCGGATTCGGGTCGATGGGTTGCAAAAGGAAGAAATTCCCGGCCGCAGCAGCGGGATGGATTCGATGGAAGCAAATTTGCCGTCATTCCGACTCCGACGTCAATCAAAACGCCCAAACAAATTAGCTTTATTGTTAGTCGTTGTATTTAGAGTGAAAGTGCATGTTAATCCTCCAACTTTTATTTTTACCAATTAAATTCTTTTAACTTGGGATGGCTTTGTTTTGTTTTGGTATACCAAACCGAAGTATGTTGGCTAACCAATCAGAAAATAATTTTTTTTTCCTGGCCATACTAACCAATCAATTTTAGTTAATGATTTTTGTTTCCATGACTAATCTAAATATTAGTTTAAAAAAATTTGGTTTGGTTAATAAAAAATTTTAATTAATTCAAGTAATTATTCCAATTTTTATATATTGTAACTTCTAAAGATTATAGGTAAATGTCAAGTTTTTCTTTCAAATTTATTCGGTTTAGAATTTTAGTTAATTCTAAATTAACCGAATAAGTCCACCCCCAATTGTGAGACATTCATATGCATCATAAATTATCATACTTGAACTTGACCATTGTTATAATGCACTAATTGTTCAAGCCCTAGCTTGAATCATACTAATTGTGTGCTTAAGTTTTGATTAAGTTCAAGTTTTAACTGGAGATTGAAGATGCTCAACAAGCTTAAGCTCAACTCAAAAGCTTCATTTAAGCGTATGGAGCTTTTGGGTTTGAGTTAACTTAAAAGGTTTAAATATAATTTTGTTTTATAAACTTAATTAATAGAAAAAAATGGTAATTTTATTATAGAAAATTATAACTAATAATTAGATATATCAATAAAATAATACTATTAATTTATGTTGGGATGATAATTGTATGCTATTATTGCTTTTGTAAACTACTATTTTTAATTAAAATAGGTATTATTAACGGTTTATACCCTTCTCAATTTTATTTATTTTAGAAAATTTAGACTCTGTGTAATATGATTGTGATTTTTAACTTTTGATTTTAGTTTTTAAAAATGTTGCAATTCTAAATAAAAAACCCAATTACTTTCATGTGTTTTTATGACATATTATCACGGTTATTAAAACAAATAAGAATAAAAATAATTTTCATAAAATTAAACTAGTTTATATTTTTTTATTATTAGTGTTAAATTTTATTTTAAAAAATTCATAACCTTTTATTTTTAGTTTTTAGTAGTTATAAATTTTATTAATCATAATTATATTAAATCGAGCATTACTTTCCAACATGAAAGAAATGAAAATTGAGGGGGGTTCGCCCAGTCGAGATATAAGGCCCAATAAATCTCGCAAAGGCCTAGAACCACTGTATATTGTTTGGACTATTGCGTTAGTTTTTTTAGCAGAGTCCATGGAATCGTAAAGGCCCATTACATTATACCGGAAAAAATCTGTCTCCGCCCCACTATGTCTGCTTCGAACTATCACCGGAGTCTCTCCTCTCTCTTCCCATCCAATTTCGCGAACTGAACAGCGATCATCATTTTCCGGCGATTCCACTGATACCTTTTCCGATTAATCCCTGAATTTGTATCAGAATTCCAGATTTCCAATGAAACAATGTCGTGTCTGGCTCTCTCCCTCCAACCCGTCAATGGACCCGACGTCCTTCTCCAAACCCGGGAGTGGTTCCCGCCCGCCAGGGCTCTCATCGTTCTCCACGCCTTCCGTCAAACCCACCTCTCTTTCGCCCGCAAAAACCCAGCCGCCGCCGCCGCCGCCTCTTCGGACGCTGACGTAGCCACCGAATCCATTGGTGACGATCCTCTTGCTGGTTCAAGCGGGCAGCTGATCGTGGGCGTGGAGAGCAAATACCGGGTGGTCTATCACCTTGTTAATTCCATTTACGTCCTCGGCATCACCACTGCCGACCACGACAATTCTATCAATGTATTTGAGTGCATCCACGTCGTTAACCAGGCCGTCAGCATCATCGTCGCTGCCTGCTGTGGCGTAGATGTTACCCCAGAAAAGCTCGCCCTCAAGTATGCCGAGGTCTACATGGCCCTTGACATTGTCCTCCGTGGATTCAGCAACATCCGCCTGGCTGCTATGCTTTCTTCGATGCACGGAGATGGCATCTTCAAGATGGTCCACTCCGCCCTCGAACTGAAGCCAAGATCCGCGGCGCTGAGAACTGGACTTCAGTAGAGGTGCACTCCAATCGAGCATAAGGCGAGCATCGAGGCCTTTTCTAACACGCGCTTTGAATTGCCGCGGGAGACTATTGCAGCTGGAGATGAGGTTGCTGCGAGTCTTGTTCCCCAGACTGCGGGTGAGCAGCAGGACGAGCAGGCACAGAAATCGGAGGAATTGGAGGCTGAGAAGGACCCGTTCGCAGCTAGTGACGCCATCAACAAGCAGGAGGAATTGGTGGGAGGGTTTAAGAAGACCAAGGATCCGTCAGCCACCGATTTGACGGTTGCATTGGCGGGTTTGGAGGTAACTACATTGCCACCAGCAGAGGCAACACAATCTACACATATTAACGTGGAAGGATTTGAAGGGGAGTATGGCGGCATTGAGTTCAGCAATGAGGAGGCTTCTCTGGGAGAGGCGTTTGAAGGGTTTAGTCACGCATGGGGTGGGAGATTGGATGCATCAGAGTTTGTTGGAACAAAGAAGGTTCCAAGACAGGAGGGGCTTACTGGACTTGAGCTCTTGCAGACTGGGGATGGTCCTGCACCTGCAACTGCAACAGCAAGTGGAGCTGCTGAAACTTCTCTTGAGAATCTTTTGGTGAAGAAGACAGAAATGAAAGGTCCAGAAATGTATATCTCGGAGGAGATAAGTGCTGAGTTTAGGGAATCCTTGCTTGCCAGAGTTGGCTTAAGGGGTTTGGTTTATCTGGGGACATTGCCCCCTAAAAGTTCTGGTGATAAGAAGATTGAGTTTTCCTTTCGGATTGAAGGAACAAGTGCCGTTAAGCGGTTTGTTATTCAGAGTTCTCGTGTTAGTAGTCTAGGTAATCGTATGTTTCATGTCAGGACAGCTCCATCAGAGGAGCCTATTCCGATTTTGAAGCATAGTTTGGTACCTAGGTTGACACCATTGCCTCTGAGGGTTAGGTTGATAAGAAGGCATAGTGGTACTTTACATTCGGTGATGATACAGTATGCTTCAAACTTGGATTTACCAGCACCCTTGAATGATGTAACATTTGTTTTGAAATTACTCGTTGATCCTACTTTGCTGAAGGTTTCATCCAGAGCAGTGTTGAATAGGTCTGAGAAAGAATTGAAATGGCATGTTCCAGAGATTCCATTAAAGGGTATTCCTGGCCGGTGAGAGCTAGAATGCCTGTGGATTCTAATGAGGACGATGAAGAACTTGAAGTTGTTGGTTATGTAAAATTTTCAGCACAAGGAATTACATCATGTCTGGCGTTTGTTTACGGCCTGCTTTGTAGAGAAAACAGAGTTGAACAAAAACTTTAAGCTGAATGTTCTTTGAGGAATTAAATCAAACCCCTGCTGTGCATAAACAATTTTAGCAAGTGAAAGAAATTGAAAGACAGTAAACTCAAGCCAATTTGGAAGAAGAAAAAAATACTTCCGAATTTTCACATTCAACAGATAAAAGACACATACAAATAATTAGAACTGTGCAACTGAAATTAACGATAAAATAGCACCACTAAGCCACTAAAGCCACTAAAGCCACTAAACTACAAATAAGATATGCACTGCTAAAAATAAGAAACTCAACTGCATGTACCCAACAAATTCCTAAAGAATAGGACAATAAAAACAGATAATGAAAAACTTATTCAACAAACCCTCCCTTAAACTAAACTTTGTATCAAAGTTCAGTTTAATAAATTCTCTAACACACAAACACCAAGCAACTTCCTTTGTTTCTGAAATGCTGACAACTTGAGAGGTTTGGTAAAAATATCAG